GTTTGTTTTCAGTACCTAGAAAATAGTATAACATTTAATAGGTACTCAATAAATACCTGTTGAATAAATCATTGAGTAAATGAATATGCTACCTTGAGTTTCTGGAATTTTTTAGGAATTGGAAGATAGCTCACTATGTTATTTTAAAGATGCCAAAGTTGATTTTAGAATTAAAATTTCATTTTTGATCCTTGATATTATCTGTAGGAATTCAAAAGTAGCTAACTATCCTCTATTTTAAAACCTTAATTTTTAGATTTAAAAAACAATCCTTCAAGTGTAAGAGAACACAAAAATATGAAAAAAATGTGGCATGACTTTCCAAATTTAATGATCTCAACTTTTTAACAGTATATTCACATATCACAGTTTGTATTACATTATTTCATATAATATTTTAAAAGTTTAGAAGCTTCAAATTTCAATCCTGATGGGATAAAACCTAGGCATGGGAGGAAGTGTTAAATAAAACTACCATTTTCATGTTGTGCAATAAATGTTAAAGCAAACAACAAAAAGACCAAGGTATATAAAGTTGCATACTTTGTAGACAAGTGATTATTCATTAAATAAAAATTATACAATGTGACTTTATAGCTCAGCTATTAAAAGATATTGAGGCCTTATATGCCAGATGTGGATAATGTGACGACTTCGGTTTCTTTCATGTGAAAATATGAAAGTTGAACTATAAGAAGCTAAATACCTCTGATATTTAATGTTCCTTAACTCAATGGATCCATATAGAACTGAAAGATAGAAATTAGACTACTTTATTTCTAGAATGTAAAAATACACTTCATGGGTTCTAGTATAATGGGTTTATCTAAAGCAACATTGAAAGAAAAAAGAAACAGAATCAAGAGGAAGGAGGGGGGCGGGGAAAGGGAAGGGAAGGCTCAAGTCAAGAAACATGTGAGGAGGACCCATGGACAAAGCCAAAGTGGAGAAAGGATTGAGGGAGGGAGGCGGGGGAGGGAGGTAGGGGAAAGTAGTGGTGGGAAGGTGGAGACAAATGTATTTGAACAATAAAAAAAAATAAAATAAAATAAAAATAAATAAATAAATTTTTTAAAAAGGGTCTAGTGTAACAAATACCAGTAATGTAAAAGGCTGACAAATTTTACAAGAGTCTTAAATCAAAGATGAGTACTATTGAACAGGAGTGACTTGCTTGAAGATGCCACCATCTTTAGCTCTGCTGATTTGAAAATGACTGACTGGTCCATGAATGAAGAAGTATGTAATTCACAAGGCAATCCATCAAATCCATAGAAATGGCTTTACAGATATCATGAACAACCTAAACGCCTTATCCAATAATCTGTAAATGACAGCCTTGTGGAAGTACCTCATTAGTAACTTTCAGCTAAGGGTACAAAAACTGGGCTGTGTACAATGATCACCATAAAGCTGATGGAGGAAAAATAAGAAACCTGTCAAAACATTTACACATATTTCATATAAATCAATGTAAATATAAGAAATACATAGAAAAGATATAAAGTGCCATTCACTGAGTTGTCTAAATGTTTTTTGTCCTGTGCTTTTAGAGAAATTGTTTACGTTCCTACCTTTGCTTAATCAAGCAACTGTGTTCCTAAAAAACTAATGCTATTTATTCTAAAATTTACATTTAGATTTAATATAGATTAGGGAGCTAACTATATTTACATAGTTTCAAATTTTTACACTCAACAAGGTAGTCTTAACTTTTCCTTAAGTTACATTAACCAAGCTCACTATCTACAGTGAATACAGGATTGCATATTTTTTTTTCCAATAAAATGAATTTGTTTTAGCTGAAAAGATTAACTTTGTGGCTTTTTGTCAAGCTCCTCATATCTTCAGCTAGCATATCTAATGACATTAGGCATTGACTTGTCTCACTGAACTAAGCCACTGAGCAACGCCTCTTTGCCGATAGAAAATTGGACATTAAAAGGAGATGATGGCTACAAGCACGAAACCTATACATATGGAGGAACAATAAATGTTCATATCAGGGCCGATAATAAAGCTGCTCAACTTGGAAAGTTGTTGAATTATCAGGACACATATTTTTTTTATACATATCCTCTCCCAATTCTTAGTCATTGTGTAGATGTTAAAACAACAATAAAACTTTTAAAAATTCTATCATTTACATGCAACCTAACTGCTCCAAAGTTTATAATAGGTCCTCAGTAGAGAATTAAGGTTACATCTACAAATTTACTCCCATCTTCATCAATAAGAATTGTGTGACTAATTTTTTCAGTACCTACAGACCATATATCTGTATTGCAAAACTTAGCTCCTACAGAAAGTATCATGATTGTCCCGTTCTCTTCAATGACTCTGGGTTGGTTACTGTTCATTCAAATGTCCTAGGATAATCATTTGTATTACAATGGTGAACAACATGTCCATGGCTACAATTGTCCCATGAGGACATTTATAAATTCTCAATCAGCTAACAAAGTTCTTTAGCATATCACCTTGATAATTTCTAAGAAGTTGTAGCAAAATATTTTCCTAGGCATTCTGTAAAGTGGGAACTCAAACAATCCAGTCAAAATGTCCAGTTTAAGATGTACAGAAAAAGAACGTCTGCATACTCCTTGTATTTGAGAAGGTCAATACACTGTAAGGAAGCTTTTTTAGGGGATAGTGTTAAAGGGTTGAGTGATATATTTTTCCAACAAAGATGGTTCAACTGCAATGCATCTCAATTTCCCAATTCATTTCCTCCTCCAATATAAATTCATTGATACCGTCTATGATGGAATAGAAGGTAAGTACACTCCTTCCATCTGTTTCTTATCTTGGTGAGGATATACCTCTTGCTTATCCAACAAAAGTTATTTCATAACTCCACTGTTAAGGATTTTTTCCAAGTTATCTGAAGCTGAGATAGGATAATTTTGCAGTAGATTAACACTTCTCTTATTAAACTAGAGATTTTCTTCAAATGACACTGTGATTTTGAAATTATTTTTGTTCTTTCTGTAATTTTTGTGCTGTATATCTTTACTAGTCCTTAATTGCCATAATCTCTAGGGCAGTAGTTCAGTTAAAAAAAATAAGACATATTTATATCAATTTTATGAATTACAAAGTATACTAGAGGTCAATTAGACATAGCAACATTCACAACCAGGTATGACAAAGAAGCAGAAAGACAAAAATAAATGCTTTCATATTTTTCAGGTTGGTTTAACCTCAGTGATCCCAGCAAAGATGAGGCTAACAGCGCTCTTTTGTCACTCTGCCTTGAGGAGTACTTTGAATAAATCATATAGTATACAATTTCTATGTCAAACTATATGAATAATTATTCCCTTTTTACTAAATTTTCTTTTTAGCTTCAGTAAAATATCTTGAAAATAACCTATATTTTCTTGTTGTCTTATGAAGAAACAGATTCTCTTAAGTATCAATATTTTCCAGAATATAAGAAGTAAACTCCACATTTAGTTGAGGATAACAGCAGGACATGGGGATATTTATGAAGATAATTGACTTTAAATATACATGTTACTTTATTTTAAGGGGTCTTACTAAAAGCTAAAATAATAAATTTTTAAATTGGTACTAACTTGACTTCATTCTACTTTAAAATTATTTATATGTAAATACAAAAAAATATGGCACTTGAATATTTCCAAAAAGACCCAAATATTTCCTTCTCTGGATATGCAAAACTCTGATGAATGCAAGAATAGTATGAGTTTCTTTAGGAATTATAGGCGTAAATTTGGTAGCAGTTCTTTTCTTAAAATAGTTTTCCTATAGCTCATTTTTTAAATAATATCTTTGTAAGATAAAGCATCTTTCTATGGCTAAATTATTATAGAATGTTATAGCTGTTCTGAGTACACCTTCCTTAATTTTGGTTGATTTTTCTTAACTTCTTGGGTATTAATGAACAGAATCTTAGCAAAGAATTCTGTTGCTAAAGGAAAGAGCAAACTTCACATTTGGGTAAGATCTTTCTTCTAAACCTGCCTGAAAATACACTTTCTTTGCATGAAGGAGGGATACCAGAAATCAGTGGCAGAAAATATAAGAGACAAGAAAAAGAATGGTAGAAAAGAATATTGAGGCTAAAAGGAAAGGCTTTCTTGGGATATTGAAAGGGCATTACAAGTTTGTTCATGTACAAAGAAATTACTTCCCTTCTTTCTCTCAAGGATGGATGTTTTATCTCTTCAATGACAAAATAAATCAGACTGTTCCATGGGAAGATCAATACCACAAGAGAAACATTAAATGATATTTTTATTATCTCCTTCCAGGCTAATTACTGTATCCAAACATACAGTGTATAAGCAAGATTCAAGTCAGGCAGAACTCAAATATCTCTGATTGGAAAAGATGTGAATGTTTGCTCTGGAGTTAAGAGTTAATAGGTAGAGCTCTACTAATAACTCTACCCAATACAATAATTGTATTCATCAGAACCATATAGAACTATTTATTATCAACACAAACACCTGCCCTTTGCAATGTTTAGGCAGTGGCAGCCAGAGAAGAAGCTTGGTACACTATGTTCTGATTTTGGAGTGAACATGGAGAAATGGTAGAAGATGTCACTGGGAATCCTTGTGGAAGAAGGAAGGAGATAGAAGTGGAATCACTAAAATATAGTCAGATCTAAAATAGATTGTTCAAATTTATATCAGAAATGTAATTTTAACCTTCTAAATTAAAATCTACAAGGCAATTGAGACACATTTAGAAAAGATCTGTTAGGAAACCAAACGAAAGATTCTCCTCTGTGGTCAAATCAATTTGTATGCAGTAATAACCAGATGAAATAAACATGTCATGTGATTTTCATTATATTGTATAAGCTAGCTTTCTCGGATAAGGTCCAACTCTTGGCAATAAATCATAACCAGTAACTCCATCTCCCTTTTTTTATAAGAACTGTTAGCTTAAAACATGACGAAGGCACCATAATAATTAGTGGGATTTTACATCTGGCAGGAAATACATATTCATATGATGCTTACCTGCCCCCCTTTAGGCTGGTATTTGATGTTGTCTGTTGATCCAATTTTGGATTTGACATTCTTCAGGTCTGGCAGTGGTTGGTTAATAAGCCGAAGCTGCTTCGGAGTAGCGGGAGATTTTGGAGGAGTACGTATGATGGCGACTTTCTTCTCACCGGGCACCAAGATTGCAGATTTGGGGGTTCCTGGTGTGTGAGGGGTCCTGGGGTAGCTAGGGGTTCCAGGAGTGCCTGGTGTGCGAGAAGAGTAGCTTGGTGGGGTGCCCGGAGTGATGGCGGTTGATCCAGGGGTAGTGGGTGTTGAAGTGCCACTTTTTCCTGCTCTGCGAATTGGCTCTGACCCTGTATTAACAAATAGAAAACAAAACAAAAAATTATGCATAAGAAAGTTCTCCTCAAAGTATTTTTCTACACATAATTGTTAGAACTCATAGTATATTAAGTTTCTAAAGCATTTAGAATATAAATTACAATAATGCTCAAAAAGGTGAGAGCCTCCTTTTTTTTAAGGCTCATAACCTGGTACATTCTTTTTGAACATGCATTGCTACCAGTGCAAGAGTAAAATGGGTCTTCCTGTTGTGTTCTTCTTAATTCTTATTATAAATGTGTCAAAAACTATTTTTTTTTAAACTTGTGTAATCACTAAGGCATATAGATCAGGGTACTGGAGATTTCTTAAATGGTATAGACTATTCATTCTTCTGTGTAGTTAAGTTCACTTTGAAATCCAGATGGACATGCAATGCAAAACTGTGATCTAAATTACATAATTCTGGACTGCATTGAAAGCTATTTATTCAATTGTGTTTCAGTGGTACGCCCTCAGCTTATATTGAGGAGCACTGTGAGTTACAAATGTGTTCATTGAAAGCTGTTCAGTTCTGTCAGGCATTGTCTACAATATCATGTGTTTTTGTAAGAAAATTTGTCTTAATTCTTAATACCCCCAAAATATCTATTTCTCTCCTTAGAAAATTAGGATGTTTTAACATTATATTCACTGTAAAACTTGTACCTGATTGTGTTGTCTCCTCTATTTTTATTACTAGTTTGGTAGTTTGAAGTCCTATCAATAATCCCTCACTGTCAATTATTCAGGGTATTGCAAGATGCATTTTTTTTTTGCCTCAACTTGACCATAGCCTCATTTTATCACTTAACTCCTTTCTCCCATTTTCCTATACTATGCTTCTCTCATATTGTCTTTTCAAATGTGTTTTTGAATGTCATTTGAAATTTGAAAGAATGATGATATAAATAAAAGCATACATTACAAATTTCAAAGCACTTTTGTGAACACCAAACATTGGATAACCAAAATAAAAGCCATAATAGTTAGAGGCAGCACTTGTTACCCCTAATTTAAAAAGGAGGACATTGAGGCTCCTTTATCCAGATGATACTAAATTTCAAGCCAGATTATGGTACTTAGCTTCTTAATACTTGTTTAACTTTCTTTTAATATAAAAATCTTTTCTCAGAATAATACATTGATTCCATTCAAAGAACACTTATCTACATTGTTAACATTTATTACACAAATTCTGTAACATTTTTGTATTTTATAGAAAGGGCATGATTTTTATTTTTTACTACTGAGTTTGTGTACTTTGTCAAAATCAACAAATGTTCTAGAAGTTCTGTAGAGGATAAAGATAGAACTCATTAATTTTAAAACAAATAAAGTGAAAATGATCTTAAAGTCAACTAATGCAACTGATTATCATTACAGGAAGTTCTTTTGGAGAAGGGGGACAATTAATTTTGCTTAAATATTTGTAAATAGTGAGCTCAACAGAGTACACGTTAGATAATTCTAATGTACAGACAATGTGAATCTACCAACTGGTCTGGGTTTAATCTCCTGGAGAAACACAGGACAGTTTTACTTCCTCTTTCAGTGAAGAGTTTCCACGCGTCAAGTGAAAGTTGCCCAGTATCCTTTTGGTGTAATATAAGGGCAAAACATAGTTAAACTCTTCAACTGACAATATGAAATGAAATATGAGAAGACTGAAGTGGAAAATTAGTGTGCAGTCTATGATTTTTATTGCTCTCCACAAAGTGACATTTTGAGACCAGGATGATGCAACCACATCCAACTTGCCTTTTTGTGGCTTCTTTGCTACAAAGTTCATTTTTGGTCCAAGTTTTTGATGCAGGCTTGAGTCAGTTACTACATCTTTCTGAAAAACCTCTTCAAAAGCCTTATTTCTGCCTCAAATATTTTCCCTATGACTTCCTCTCCTCTGAATAACTCAGGTCTTTCAGGGAGGGTGATCATTTCAGTATTTATTTGTCACTGTATCAGGCACCGGTACCTTTCACACGATCTGAACAGAGTACATACTCCAAAAGTTTCTTTTTTTAATGGTATGAATTGGATTTAAAATTTATCAAAGTGTGCTGAGGTTTTTTTTCTTCTTCTTCATAGATATTAAGCTGAAGTAAAACTCTGGATGAGCATAACAATTTTTACTAAAAGAAATAAAAAATTTTTAAAGTAAGGGTCATTTCCATACTTGTAGGAAAAGGCTTTAAGTTTTAGAAAACTAAAAGATAAAGGTTTTGTGTTGCATCTGGAGAATGAGAAAAAAAATCACTAAGAGTATGCCATTAGCACTGCTGTTCAATAGATATCAATTTTTACTGTAATTATGTTCTAGTTATCAAAATGACAAATCTGTTTTGATATAACTATTCTGAAAGTAAAGGGTTACATCTAAGATACTAAAACAAAAAATATTTATGAGTTACTTCATTAATGGCACTTTTATCTACCTGCCAGATCACCGCTGACAATGTATTCCCCTCCTTCGGGGATAAATGCACCTACTGCACAGCATGATTTCTTTCAAATCTTTTCAAGAGCTGTACCAACTACCAGAACATTCTCGTGTGCAGTTAAGAAGATGACAGGCAGACTGCATGCTCTTCTATTTGTCCCTGTGCCTTTTAGCTATTGCTATGTAGAGATAAACAAACCCATGTCCTCAGTGTATCAGAGTATCAGTTATGTTCATCATCAAACAATACAATGCAACAAGCTTATGAATGCAAGAAAAGTGAGAAAAGTGAGAAAGTCAAAATAGAATTGACTCCAAATATAAAAGCAATTTATATACAGATACATTTTAAAGGGTAAAACACAGTGGCTTGAAGATGTGGATTCATGGAAGAAGTACCATTTTACTTCCAGAGCAAGAAATGCAGGCATAATTCACCATGTGCCTTTGGGGAGCACTTGATGTCTTTGTCTTGTGTTAACACCCTCAGTGTTATGCCAGATCCCAACTCCAGATATTTGGACTTGAATTCTTTTCTCGGGAGATTACTAACTCTTAAATGCATTCTGTGCACGTTCATTTGAATATTTTTGCCAATGTAAGAGTTTTAGTGATTTCAAAGTGTTTCTAGCACAATTTCAAAGCATGTTAATACTTCATGAAATTAAATGATATAGAGCACAAAAGCTCTAATTATAACAAACTCTTTCATCTTTAGACAAAAACATTGTTCAAATGCCATGCAAAACAATCACATTTCAAGTGAGCCAATTATTAAATATTTAAAAATAAAGTGGTGGAATCAACTATAATGTGATAGTAGTGGCAATTTCCACCATTTTGTAATGTTTTAAATGACAGCTACTATTTTCCAAATGTTTCCAGAATTTTGTAATGATTTTTGTATGGTTTTGTACTGTTTTAAATGTCATTAATGTCAGATCACATGTCAGCAATACTATTTTCCAAGTGATTCTACACAGCAGCTCTCTAGAACTGTTTTGTCCAAATAAATAAAGACATTAAGAGGACAGGTTATAAAGTTATCAGTGTGCTGACAACCAAATTCAACCACTTACTAGCTGTATAGAATCGGACAAGTTACCCTCTCTAAAAGGTCGGTTTTCTCATTAGTAGATTGAATGAGGTTATTAACATCTAACTATCAGCAATGTTTATTAAACTGAGTGAAAAATGTGTTTAAGATTTTAGCATTTCTATGTGCTCAATAAATGGTAGCTATTTTTAGTCTAATAGAAAATTATTTATGAAAATAATTTGAACCCATGCTTTACTAGATAGTTTTTGTAGCAATACAACATATAAGTAGGTAATGAGTGATTAGAACATCCTTCGCATACACTGGGGTAACTGCCAATCAAGTTTCCGATGGGCCATCAGTCAAAAGAAAATGGAGCTATTACACAGAACATGCTCTGTCTGTAGCCTGCTTGGAAGGCATATTCTAACACATTAAGTAGGACCTTAAGTGATTTTTTAAAAAGATTTTTAACTTATTTTTAGAGAGAGGGGAAAGAAGGAAGAAAGAGAGGGAGAGAAATATCAATGTGACAGAGAAATGTCAACCAGTTACCTCTTGCACAAGCCCCAGTGGGGTACCGGGTTGCAACCCAGGCATGTGCGCTGACCAGGAATCAAACCAGTGACCTTTCACTTTGCCGTACAACACCCAACCGAGTTGGGTTTTGACTGTGGACTTTGCAGTTAGAATTTAGGACTTAGAATTCTAATAACGGTTTTTTACATAAATATATATTTTTAACATCCCTGACTACTGGGTTTCTCAATTGCTTCTTTCAAATTTATTTTAGTGTATACTCAAAAGAAGAAACATATTCTGAGTAAAAAATGACTTGTTTCAGTCCTGTTTAATAGGTAATAAATATGTACTCGTTTCCTCCACTAATCATTTTGATTCAAACAGTCTGGATTTCCTGATTCTTAGGACAAATGTAATCTGATATTAAGGCATGTATTTACAAATATAAAGTATACATACATAAGCTCTACCCCACTTACAGGGTTTAAAAACAATGATTAAAAAGGAAGCCAAACCCAAGTAACGTACTAGTGGTCCGCCGTGCTGAGGAGGAGATGGAACTGTTGAGAGAGAAGGAATTCTCGTCTCTGTCCCCTGACACAGCTCTGCGAGGCGGAAGAATGGAGGAGGGTCTCGGCAGAGAAGAGCGCTTCTCGGGGCTCTTGGTGACTCCGTCCTGAATGGGGGAGGCAAAAGGGTGTTGGGTTTCTGTGACTCTTTATTTTCATCATACAAGGTGATTACATTGTTTTGGCTATTTTTCTTTCTGTGCTGATAGATTAATCTCTTTCAGTATACACTACTGAATTTCACATGCTTATAAGCATTTCTACTTCAAACTTAGAATTCATATTTCCCCAGAAGCTTTATAAAAATATATTACTTTGGATTTAGTGTTAATAGTTTATTGTGAAGTTCCAATTCTAAACGATAACATAGGCAAAATGAATTTACTCAGGTAGTTTTCAGTAAATTAGTAATTTTACCGAAAAATCTTCATTAGCAGGATAATTTATTAATCAAATAGAAAGAGCAGTAGGGCATTGCATGCATAATATTCAGAACAATGACCATTGCAAGACATTGGGCACTTGATGTGACAGGAACTCCAAGCACTTATATCCCCTTATGATTTAATTATCACCACAAAAAAATCATAGGCATTTTATAGACAAGGAGAGAGGCTTAATTTTTGTAATTTTTTCAAGATCACCAAGTTGGTAGGTGGCCGACTTTAGTATTAAATCCTGATGATTCTGATGCCAAGTTTACACTTTACATTGTATTATATATAATTTATTATTAGATTATATAATATATATAATATACTACACACAATATTATATTTAATATATTTTGTTTGTATTTGAAATTTAATTAAATGTCAAATAAATAACAAATTAATAAAAGATGGTATACCTAGAAAAAGACATTTTCTATTTTCTTTATGGTTAGACTCTCCATAGCTATCAAATTTTTTAGTTGCATTTGTTTTTCACCAATGTCTATATTTATACGTCAACCACTTTAGAATTTCAAGTTTTTGCTTTCATACCATTACTGAACCATGTCCTATAACTTTTTCCCACATTATATTCCTTTCTCCATCTTGGATTGACCTGCTGCCTTACCTTGTTCCCTGATTCTGAGTATGGCAAACGGTCTGTGGAGCCCGCTGAGGTGGGCTGTGTTAAAAAACTGTCAGAAAATGTAGTCCTTTTAGTCGGACTAGGGCAGGCTGAGCTGCATCTTGGGGATTTTGTGTTACCCTGAAAGGCAGGAATCTTTGACAAGGTAGAATTCTAGCCATGAAAGAAAACAAACAAAAACACAAAATAAACCAAACTATGAAGTAAAAGGAAAATTTTAAAAAATGTACAAACATATGAGAAATTAAATGTATACTTTTAATAAGAACACATGACAAATGGTTAAAATCAATGATAGAGAGAGAAATTTATATGAGAACAAGAGATTTTCATTGAACACCTCTTTTTAATTTAAGAATACTCATATATGAGGATATAGAGTGAAATATTCTTTACGGGTTCTATGTATAAAGTCTCTGATCAAAATCCACAGGCCTTACATAATACTATCTCATGAGTTTGTTGGAGTTGTTTCTTCGACAAACACAGCCCTTAAAATGTATATATAACTGATCTCTTGGCCACAATCCAAGAACTTTAGAACAAGATATAGTTAAAACCTAATAATGGAATTATTTTTAAGTTGAGAAAATATATTTTTAGATTATCTACCTTGATTTTATCAGAAAACTGCAGCGTTTATATAGAATGAGATTATAAGGAAAATGCGTACTGGGGACCAAGTTATACCATAAAATTCGTAACAATTTTATGCATGACTACAGTTGTATAATGGGTTAAAATTCTAAAAATGAAAGTCAGCCCGGAAGAGACTGCCCATGAAAACCACAAGACTAAATTTGCAGATGAGGATCCTTGGGGCAGTGGCCAGCAAGTGTCAGTAAGCAGGCTGGACGTGCATGGCTTTGGCGGAAATCGATGCTGGCATACCGCGTCTCCTGGGAAACCCTATTAAAAAGGCAGACAAGGGGGACAAAGCCGAGGATATTTTATCTTCAGATAATTAATATGATTTACTTGTTTAAAAAAAACATTGAAACTGAGATTTTTTTTTTTATCTCAAGTTTTAACTTCCGTAGTCACTCTCACAGAGGCAGAATCATCCATGTGTCACACAGATCACTTCCTGTGCAACAGACCCTGCACCTTGGGTGGGAAGTCATAGCTGGGCCAGCAGAAGTCATTCTTTTTGATTGGCACTACCCACAAAATAGTGGATTTCAAAAGTGTGAATGTTGAAAAGAAAAAAGGAGTAATTGGATTGTCACAAATTATGGAAGACAACTAGTAATCTGATGCTAAAAACAAAAACAAAATAAAACAAACAAAAATTCCAAGCGAAATGAAGGATTACTGGTCAGGCTCACAATAAGGATCGGCTCACAAATGGGAGAGAACTGTTCTGGTGGATGCCTTGAATATCAGAGAAAAAGAAAAATTCACCTTAGAGTTTTAGAAAACAGGAAAAAAAATCAGATTACAAGGAAGGAAAAAAGGGGGATGTTAAATGAGAAACAGAAAGAATGGTGGCCTAATGTTCAGAAAGATGAGATGGGTACTTAGCAGAAAAAAGAGTTAATTTTGTGTCAGAAGATGTATATGGTTTCTGTCTTAAGTGTAAGAATTGAATGCCAGCTCCTGCTGAATTATTCATAGACCAAGGGACTTGAAGAAAATTTCTGAAAGGTTTTTCAAACAATGTACACTTAAAAAAAACTTTCCTTAATGAGGGAAAGCTCAAATTTACTTTCTGTAGCTGTTCCTAAAGAGTTCCACCTTTTAAATAATAATAATAGCAACAGTAATAATAACTATCACTGTTAAATAAATACTATGTTCTAGGCACTATACAGTGTACTATTTTATGCAATTACTATATGTAATGTTCACAGCTAACTTATGACATAAAAACTTTTACTCTTCCCATTATTTTTGGAAAATTAAGACACATGAGGAAAAGACAATATATCTAATATTGGACCTGGTCTATTTTCTAGTCCTGCTTTTAAGTACCACAACTCAGCAGATCCTCATCAGAAACAGAAGGTAAAGAAATACAAATCTCAAAATCAGAGTGATTTTCAAATAAAAGCCAGTAGGATCTGATTGGAGGACAATCTGAGAGTCTATCGCAAAAACTTTATATAGAGAGTGTCTTGAAATAATAATTTCCCTAGTAGGAAATTATACTAAGGGAACACATATCAATGCATTCACATGATTTAGCCAAAAAGATTTCTACACAGTAACAGTGTTAAAATAACAACAAAAAAAGCTTGAATGTCAAATAATAGGGAGTTAAGTATATAAATAAATAAAATGCAATGTTATATAGTTATTAAAATAATGTATAAGAATGCTTAATGACATGGAATTCTGTTTACTAGTTAATTGAAGAACTGATATACAGTATTTCTGTTATTGAACCAATAAAAGTGTAGAAAAATAAAGATTTTTATATCAAAATGGAAACTCTAGTTATCTTTAGTAAGGGGATTATAATATATTTTCACTTACTTTTACTCATCTACATGCTTAATTTGCTCATAATCTTATTTTATAGGAACAATAAATATATAACATTTTTAGTTTTGTGTTAGCTATAATGGTTTACCTTGGATTTATGAAAAGTGAATAATTGGGCTCCCCTCTGTTTACCAGATCACCATATGTTTTCATCATATTCATATGATGAATAGCTTTCATCCTATGAAAACTATTTCGTGTGTTTTGCCTTACTAATAAAAAGCGGACTAAATCCCACAGTAGCTGGTCTGCCCTTGCCAACTACTATCACATGTCATTCCAGTAGACTTCAGGACGTGCCCGAATGCCACTGAGAATCATTCTGTGTGAATGAATGACTTAATATGACATTTAAGACAGCTAAAGCCTAAATTATATCTTAAGTTATTAAAAACATTGACACTAATACCAAAGGGAACTTCAAATGAAGAACACGGAAAAAGTTATTTTACTCACAGAGACTTTGTCCTTTGCCTGTTTAAATACACTGGGAACCTGATATGACTCACCACCTGCTGCTGTGAAAAAGAGAAGACACAAACAACCTCAAACTTGGTGGCTAAAAACCACATACATGCATTTTTCAATACCCTTTGGACATTCAGTTGTGTCAACAGACTAGTGCAAATCAAAATCTTGTTTGTTTTGAGTCTCGAATTCAGTATTCTGGAGAAACCTGAATAATAACATTAGAGCATGTGGCTCCCACTCTAGGGTGTGCTAATTAACGTAGCCCAGGGTTTACCAAAGCACAGGTAAGCACACCAAACAATTTTTGATTGGTTACCGATGTGCCTATGAATTACTATTACATGAGGATAGATCCTTAAGAACGGAAGTCACGGAATAGCAATCTGACTGCTGTGGAATTTAAGGAAAAAAGGACTGACTGGTTTCTAGGGTCGGTGTGATATAAAAGAGAGCTCATAAAGATTCCCAAACACACTTTTTGTAGCCATTGGCATGCCTACAGATTTTCTGCATTTTATTATATTTCAAACTGTCTTGGTCAGCCAACCCCTTTTCTCTCTGTACCCTTTCATTTCACAGTATGAATGACACACTTGTTTGATGGGAAACATATCACATGAGAAGAGAAAGGAAGAAAAATAGCTTGTCAGAGAGAGAAAACATGAGAGGAACTTTAAATTCAGTAATATACAACATGTTCTACACATGAACTTACTCTATGAAATTATTACCACATCTGTTACTGTTGTTTCTCTTGCTACTCCTTTATACTTCTGGTTTCAATTTTAAATGCCATTATCTCTAGCATATTTTCTGTCAATGACTTACCTGACTTGACTTAAATATCTCTCATGATTGAAAACAATCCTTTGTGTTTTGGAAAACTATCTGCATTTAAAATTTGTGCTTAGAAAATGAGAGACACAAGCTTGTGTGTTCACTTCCTCTTTAATTTTCTTTCATAAGAGAGAAAGCCTCAGGGGGAAAAATTACTTATCCTTATAAGCACTTTGAGTGAGTTTCAAAAAGGTTTTTTATGCCATCTGCAGCTCTAACACAAAAATAATACTGTCTACAATATGTTATATGCTATTTTGGATTGGCGAGTAAGTTTATTCACAGATTTTAGAACTGATTTTCTTTTTTTGAAGAAGTGCAAATGATGCCTCCTTACTATTCTATAATATGTCTCAAATTTCTGTGATGAAGTTTGCTTCAAGTCAATGGCACTCTGTTTGGTATATGCTCTCTGCTTGAGTTTCTTAACCTTAGAATAACATAAGGAAAAATACTAATTAGTCCAAAGATCTTAAATTTCCTTTAATGACTGATTTCCTTTAATGGATGAATGAATTCTCCGTGTGGTAAACTGAACACAGATGACATGTAGGTACTTCACCAAACCAGTTGACATTTCCTCTGAAATTCCACAATCCTGCTACAGTCTTTCATCCTTTCAGGTAGGATATGGGATTTTTATACCCAAACCAAGAGTTTCTGTCTTTCCAAGCATCTGTCTGACTAGAAGAAAAATTCCACATTTAATAAAAGTGAACAAAGTAAGGTGTGATATAAGGTTTGTAGATGGTATGTTAATTTCTAACTATTAAGTAGAGGAACTCTTTATTCTGAATCCTTATCATCAAGGTTTGTGTATAATTAAAAGCCTTCCACTTCCAAATACCACCTTAGAGACTAGTTTTTAAAGAAAAGCACGTGACATGATTTCGATAAGAACACAAATACAAAATATTTGAGATTATTAGAGGCTACCATAAAACCATCAATTACCTTGACTTTCTTTTTCTTACAAAGGTTAATGTTGCTCTCAATGTTTAAAACCATCTGAATATTTCTAAAAAGGCACTTCTAATGTACAAAGGATAGAAAAATGTTCTTTTTTGATTTAGCAACCTGATGTCTCATTTTGTAGACTGCAAGTATGCCACTTAACAAATGTTAAAATATACTGTAAATTAAGAATATCCTAGTATAATGATACATTTAAATAAATATGTAGCATTACAATGTAAGAATAGACTTTGCATTATAGATATTTGTATGGTTTTTATATGATTTACGTGTTTTGCTCCTTCATTCCATCCACTTTTTTTCAACAATAAAAAAAGTATATTTGAAGAAGACAAAAATAATAAGAAGTAAAATAAGAATATATCTAAGTTCTAAGAAATTCAGTAGGGGAAAGAGTTTTATCTTTGAATTTTGGACACTGAGTTATATAGGAAAATTTAGCAGTTTGGATCCAACACATTTAAGAAAATTCCAGTGATGAAATGTCAGCTGAGAGATGTCATACAACAGATTGCAAGCCTTTATAATTTTGGATCTAAGAAATAAAATCTGATGAGATTATCAGCTAATTTCATTTCCCTTTTTTTCTCCCCTCTTTCATCCAAAGCAAAGGGATTTTGCAGCCACTATTTTACCCCAGATTGGTTTTTCATTTTCAATCTTGAAATCACTCTGCATTTTTGGAGGTTTTCAGCGAGTTCATCAACATCAGTAACAGATTTGGCAGTAACAATATAGAAAATAGGACAAATACGTATGGGTTTAAGCATGAGGGAGATAAATAAGCAAAATAATGAGAATGCGAACCACGGTTATATTCATCGCCATCGTCTAACCACACACACAGAATGAAAATAGGAATCCCCAGAACGTGACACTAGAGCACAATGCCAAGATACAATCACTGTTAAGTCTGAGCATGACAAAGAAACAGATGGTCATGACCTCTTCTGCAGGGAGGGGGGAAAAAAAAGAATAATGATACAAGACACTTAGGAGCGAAATTGTTCATGACTACTAAGATTCTTGGAAAAAAAACAAAATGAAGAAGCTGCTACAGTCATGAGATAAAAAAACAAACAAACAAACAAAAAACATGTCTATGTTTGCCAGCCACATTGCAGAATTGATCAGTCACCTGTCGTTTTCCGCTTAACACAGGAGAGATGAGTTGGTCTAGTATATTTGATAGCAGGTTTTAAAATGAATTTCCTGGAGGGAGAGTGGGCCTGAACTTCTGTTTTTTTAGCAAGTTCAGCCTTCTTATAAACTGCTATGGATAAGAAAACACAGAAAGCATACCATCAGGAAAAAAATAAACACTTGGAGCACAACTGAACAAAATTTCATAAATAGTTACCACTGTTAGGCAGTTTCTTCTATAAAAAGAGTAATAATGAATTACTTCAAAAACATTTTTAAAGAAGTGATTGTTAAATGAACCTTTTTTCCTTCTCACTTCATCTCTGGAGACTGTGCTAGGTTCCTTTTTAGCTATTTTTCTTTCAGGAGTGGAAATTCTGCCTCTCCCGGTTTTAAAAGGCTTTTCTTTTCTATGTTTCTCGAGAGATGATCTCCGAGCTTCCTTTTCAGCTTTCTCCTCTTTAGGAATAGTTTCTAACTGTTCTGTCATGATGCTTCTATCATCATCTGCGGATCAAAGCAAATCATCACAACAAGAACAACAACAAAAACATTAGTAACAAATGTACAAAGTCCTTCACCCATTTAACAAAATGCAAAATAAAGAGACAAAAAGGGGCTATTTTAAAATGCTTAAAATGAACAGAAAAAAAAATTCCATTAGGTTACTGGATTTTATTCGGGAGCAGAAAATTAAAAAAAAAATGCACACCTTGAGTGTCCACCCAGAGACTGTCAGCATCCATGATGGAGTCGTCAATGGTGGTCTCGTCTTTGTAATCGTCATAGGTTTCTGTCTTATATTCTGAGAGTGCCACCTCTTCTCTCTCAGGGGAAGCTGGAGCCTCTGGGGAGCCATCCTTGGGTTCTGCCTGGGCTTCAGCTGCCTCTTCTAGTTCGAGCTCTTCTTCGGCGTGAGGCGACGGTCTCCTCTCCACCTCAGGCTGCTCTAGGGCTGCAAAACGCACGCTGTGGGAACCCGACTCCCCTTCGTCGGTTGTGGTTTGCACCACTGTGATGAAATCATCCTCAATGGTCACAACAGACTCAATCACCCCTTTGTGTTCCCCTGGGCAGGTCTCCACAAATTCCTCCCTGACACCTGGGACACCCAGGTCACTAATCTGAAGGGTGTCTGAGCGAAAAAGCAGTTTATCATATTCTCCCCGGGCTTCTATCTCTTCTTCCTCACTCTGAGCTTCTGCTGGTTCAGCCCCAACAGCTTCAGGCAATGGCTCTGTAACATCAGAGGGCGTGATAGATATACCTGGGGTCTCCTTGCTTTCTTCTTTGTGTGCCTGCATAAATTCCAACTGGACATCCGCTCTCTCCTCTGAGGCTAAATCAGCCTCTGAAACAGCAGATGCACAAGGTATTTCCACTGACAATTTGAAGGCTATCTCGTCCTGAATTAGGGAAGATTCTGGGGATGTTTCCTTCCTGCCCTCATCAGGCTTCAAGGATTCCATGGTCAGACTTTCATGCTCACCACTGGACTCGTAGGATTCTTCTTTGTCTACAGCCTCCTGGTGTACCAAGTCAGGCTTGGCCACCTTCTCCTTGACTTCTGTCTCACCAGCTTTGGTGCCCTCTTTCAAGTGGCCCGGCTCAACAATCATAAACACATCTGCCTCCTGAGGCACCATGGGTGTAGCCTCGAATGGAAGCTCTTTTGCCTTTCCAGCGTCTACATTTAGCCCCGAGGCCATTTGTCCAAACTCACTGATTTTAATATCTAGTTGACCCTGGTCAGCTTTCTTTGCAGCAAAATCCAGTTCTGATTCAGCTTTTTTGGTGTGTTCTACTTCAGCTACCTCTGGCACTGAACTGAGACCTTTCTCTGCTTTCTCGGCCATGATAGGCGATGCATTTTTTGATACTGTCAGTTCTTTGGCCAAAGCATGCTCGTAGCTTACACCTAATCCAAATGGTTCAACTTTAACACCAGCCCCTTCTGTTTCCTTGGCATGTTCTTTTGAATCAGCATGTTCTTCACTCTTTTCTAGTACAGTATCCAGCTTGTCATTCGCTTTCCTCTCCTGATCAAACTCCCTACCCAGCGCTGAATGCGAGGGTGCGTCTTTCTCAGCACTGTACTCATCTTTGACTCTTCCAGCTGCTGCCAATTTCACTTCAATCAATGAGAGGTCTGTGGCCAAATCTCTTCGTACTTTATCATCACTGCCCTCATAAAAGGAACCACTGTCTCCTGATAAATTCTCACTGTCTTGAACAGGGGATGGGAGTGGGACCGTGTATTTATTGAACACACAGTAGCCCAGGTCTTCGAGCTGACTATCTGTTTTAACAATGACGTGGTTTTCATCAGTAACAGGGGGCAAGGCAGTACTACCCCCCTCAATGACAGTCTCTGATGGCACAGATTTCCTCCTGACAACCTCAGCATCTGCACTCACGGAAGCTAGTCTTGATCTCGTGCCTGCCAGATCTAGCATTTCAGGCAGGTCGGGGGCCATGACGGTACCATTTTTGTAATAATCTTTGGCTAGGAATGGCGATTCACACAATGTCTCAGCTTGAGTACTTCCCTCTCCAGCAGCTTTTTCTCCCTCTATCTGTTCTTCTTCCTCTTTGTTTTCCATTGGGAAGCAAGGGGCTTTCTCCAGGGCAGGTGTAGTGGCCGGAAGGTAATCATCCCCTTCATCCATACTTCCACTAGTGTTGGTTAGAATATCAGAAGCCAGAGGAGAAAGATCATGTCCCCGACCAAAGTTAAATCCAAGAGCTATGGAATCCAGGCAAGACATGGGCAAATTGATTGACATGCTTCTTTGTTCTATTGCAGACCTACCACCAAGTCCTAAACTCCTGCTTAGTGTCAGATCATCCTTATTCTTACTGTGGAGATCTCTTTTCTCCCCATACACTTTTGGATCAATAGTGAACATTCTTTCTTGAGGAGAGCTAGGTTCCTCAGGTAAATCAGGTGGGTAACTCTTTGCAAGAGTGCTATACCCTGCTTCTGGTGCTGGACTGGGCTGCGATTCTTTACCTGCCTGAAGCCCCTTGTCACCATTTTTATACATGGGAGATATGGTATCAAAAGACTCTTGGGCACTTTCTCTTGTGTCACTCAGTTCATAGTAATCACTGCCTGGCTGGATGTTTTTTGTCACTTCTTCTTTCAAGGCAGATGTTTCAAAGTACTTGGACATTCCTGACTTATCTTCATAAAATGGCATGTCAAGCTCAGCTAATGTTGCAGCCCCAACTCCTTCAACCTTATTGTCTTTGTCAGCACCTTTTTCTTCAAACAGGTCTTCAATAGCATTCCTTTCACTTAGCACAGCGGGTTCATGCACAACTTTCTCCGGTGTTTTAGGAGTCATGGCTGAACTTGTAATTGCTTGCTCCAAACATTCAGGGAACAACTCCTGTTTTAGTGCATTTGTGGTAGCCTGTTGGCCTTTCCATTCTTCCTGTGAGAGAGTGTGCTCTGGGGAAAGCTGAATCACGCCTGTCTCTTTATCTGTCAATTTGGGGACTTCGCTCTCTTTCAGCAGGGTTTCTTTGTCAGAAATGGTTATTTTTTCTTCAAGCTTTAGCTGAGATTTCTTTTCAGTAATTGAAGATCCCTGTCCACCTAGGGCAGATGTCTCTCTTTTCTGCACACTTTCTTGCTTTGTTGCCCCCTTTTCTTCTCCTAAAACTTTCTCAGAGACACGTTCTTCCACAACAGCAGTGGGGGCATCTTTGGGTGAGCTGACTGCCTCTGAGGCTGGTGTTTCTGCCATTTTGTTAGGTTTATCCACATGGGGCTCTTCAACTTTAGAAATGTCCTTGTCAGTCACTGGGCCACTGGTTTCCTCCACAGACTTTTTGTCATCTGGCTGTAACAGGGCAGGGGCAAGAGGTGAGGCTTCTGCAATGATGTCGTTCTTCATGACATCTACCGGGAGAGTGAAGCTTCCACCCTGAAAAGGACTTGGCATGGGGGAATCAAACTGTCTCCCTTCCCATTTGGGGATATCCTCAAATACATCTTTTTTCTTCATGGGTGTTAGGGGGCCAGGAGATATTGGAGCAGCTAAACCCCACTCATCTTTTTTTGTTTCCATTGGCATTTCGATGAACCAGTCCTTTTGTTCTTTTGGAGTGGGGGTTCCTGCAAGGAGGCTGATACCAGGTGCCACCAGGCCTGGTTCTGTCTTCTGTTTTGAGTCATCTAGGCCGCCACCAAGAGTGTGTCCGAACAGAGTGAGAGGTGCTCTTCCTTCTCCTGAGCCTTGTCTGTCGTTGTTATCCGGGGACGTTTTAGTTGTCTCGGGCTGAGAAACTAAGGCAGCATGTTTAAGGTCTTCACCAGGCTTACTCTGTTTCTCTGACTCCTTCTCCTTCTTGTCTAATGGCTCAGCTAAAGAGGGAGTCAATTCCTGTTGATCATGGAACTCCATCTTCGCGGCTGTAAGTAAACCTGAAGTAATTGGGTTGATTTAAAAAATATAACAGGCAAGTGCTTTCAGGCAGTAAGCTTAAAATTATATTTTGAAGTGACAAATGAATGGCAGGGTAAAAAGAAAAGGTATGGAACATGCAAGCATGCTACCCATTTAAAAATCAATATGAGCATGTCAGGATTGAGATATATTTGTACTGTTGCTAAAATGAGCTCTTATTGTGAATTAAGGCCTACAGGAATTGTAATGAGTATACTTTGAGTGTTCTTTTTCCTTTGTTTAGTCTTTTCTAAACAGTATGTGATATGTATTGTAGTAGAAAAATTCATATGCCTTCCTCAGATAATAATTATGAATGAAAGATATTGAATATGTAGCTAATATTAGGGTACAAAAGTATATACATATATATGTACAGGTAAGACTAAATATGGAAAAAGATTAATTTCTATTGAACATTTTCACTTGTTTTCTCATTTAAAACTGAATTGGTAGGCCATGGGCAGGGGCCAATTAATTTATAATAAGGGTTAACAGTTTCAATTATCTTGATCAACAAACACCAGGACCAATTTTGGGGGCACTGATAGACTACTGAACTAATTTTTTAGAAGCCATGGAGATTAAATTTCAGTAATATAAATAAATATTTGCTACTGAGTTTATATGATATGGCCTAAGAATTGACAAGTCAATTCTACCATGTATTCAAAATTCTTAATTCCTAATTGTTACTTTGTATGATAAATGTAAGAAAATTGAATTATAATGTTAGTACTGGAAGTCATGTGAGCAATAAAATTTTAAAGAGAGTCCACGGTAAAGTATCTTTCTCTCCTTGGTCATGACCTCATTTTTTAGAAGACAACCATCTGGTAAAGCATTCACCAGTACTGGCTTTAGAGATGCTTCACAGAAATTAAATGACTTTTTTATTTTTATTTGTTCACCAATCAAGAAGCCTTCAGAGTCTTACTTGTGTATTACAGTCAAAGGTATTTCACTGTGGTCACTAGGGCTAAATATAATTATCTGGAAAAGATTTGGGGAAAAATAATAAAATTCAGTCATCTCTTGAAGAGCAAGTGTATGGGTCATCATTACCTTAAATACTTGTGACCTATTGTAACAATAGAAAAGAAATACTTTATGAACTTCTACTAAGATTAGATGAATGAAAACTCAAGAGATATGGGGAGGATCAAAGGAGTTGGCTGCCATGGAAAGAAAATGATATGAGAAGCATTAGCAGGAGCTTTTAAGAAAACCAAAGTAGTCTTCATTGAAGCATAACAAATATAGCATATTGCGGTTGCAAAGAAAAACGATTTTACCATTTAAGCCTCTATATGCCAAAATCCAACTCTACGATTTGAAATAAAAGCATATGAATTGCTGTCCCAAAAGTAAAAATAAAAATATACATGTATTAGCAATGTGACTGGCAAACATTTGAGATGGGGTGGGGGGGTGGGCAGGACAAAAAGCTCACACAGCATCATCAGCCTGGCTGCGAAGCATATTGTATCATGGCAAAGTAAAACCAGAAACCAGCTGCAGCAGTGGAAAACCAAGCTGCCACACAGCGCCTGCGCAAGCACACTCTCTGCTCAGGAAGCCTACATCAGTGCTCTTGGTATCATGAGAAGACTCAGTGATGCAATAGCATTGGAAAGGCGTCAGGTTGGTAAGCTGCCGGAGAGATCATTTGCAACGAAACACATGCAATTCCTAAGAAAGACACACCTTCCCTGGCAGAGGAAGGGGTTTTTATTTCTGGAGACACCTCCGTGACCTCTTTTGCACTTTTCTCCTGTGGGGCCCCTGCTGCGGCACTCTCTTCGGGAACTACTTGGGTCTCCATACTAGAGTCCACTTGGCCCTCCCTGAGGCCCTTGGGTTGGTCTGAGACCTTGGCAGGCCCACACTCTTTCCTGGGAAGAGTGGCAGGTTTCTCTTCCTCAGCCATTGGACCCTCTAGCATTTCTTCTTCTTAGGGATGAAAAAGACGATGACATCATGACCACAGAACAGTGCACACCACAACAGAAATATTATTCAAGAAACAGTTTCAGCTCCATGATATTGACCTCAGAGAAACTCTTTTACTATTTGGATGAGCAAATTAATAGTCTAATGCGACGTGCGTTAGTTTTTGCTTGGAAAATTAGGTATAATCTGCTAATAATGATGCTTTTTAAAGTCTCATTAACAAGTTATTTACTTAAAACTTGAGAGCTGAAATGGTTTTATTGCTCTATTACCACTTAGTGGAAATGGCGGTAAGTCGCACACATGTGAGAAGCTTTGCTGGAAGTTAGAGATGGTGCTGCCAGATAACAGATGGTTGTGAAAAGACAGATGCATTGATGTACTGGAAAAAAAAACAACTTTACAATTGTTAGACATGTGCTGTTTTCTCCAATGCAAGAAGTCACTATATATGAATTTCTGATTACTTTATTTAAAACATGCAAACTTTGCTAAAGAACTCAGGGAACAAAAAAGAAAAGCTGGTCTCAAAATAAAATCCAATCAATTACCTTTATGGGGCTCTATCATGAAATCCACCAAAACTACTTAAAACATAATTTATTTAGTATTTCTCTGATGAAAGACTGCCTAACTTAGTTCATTTTTATCCTCACTGTATTATAGGATATTAGAGAACACTGAAACTTTCAAAGAGTAAGCAAATATTTTGAAAAAACAAGGCTCAGGTACAATTTCAACTTACTTAGGAAAGTCTGTCTCTGGGATACAACTCTTGTCATTAAAACTCTTGAAATGTCAGTAACGCAGTGCATGCGTAGTTCTGTTCAACACCGATTAAGAAAGAACATGTTCAAGCTATCTATAAAGTCTTATTTCTGTACTTCGAAACAAAACCACCAAGGAAAGATTACTGAGTGGCAGCCAAACTGCCAAAGTATTTTCCCAAAAGATGTATATCACATGCAAAAATGTTAATAATTAAGATGTAAAAACAAGCCTATGAAGGCCATGAATTGTTGTGCTCATTTGCATATCAAGTGCCAGTAAAATAAATTTGATTTTATCAATTATGAAATTGGAGGAACTATATATAAGCTCTTTGTGGTTTTGCAAATAAAAGATTCTTATAAAATTCCTCTGAAACAATTACACATGGTTTAAATGGCCCTGTGAGAACAGATAGAAATGTTCTTTTTTTGAGAAATATTAAAGCACTTGGAATTGGGGGGGATTACTTCAGCTATTTCCTCACATTTAGTATTCAGACACTTTCATTTTTGTAATTTAGTTATGTAAGTAACATTTAAAAAATTCTAATTGTAATTTATTAAGGCAGTTTCAGAATGCCTTAGAATTAGAGATTCTGATTACAGCTAAGAGGCTTTTATTATAGCTGTTTTACTTATGTCACTCCGTTGGATAAAGCCTAATCAAATCAATTTACATGTGTTCCAAATCCATGTCACTTTTTAGCTTTCCCTTTTATCACTTTGTATAAATCATGTTTGTTCCCACTACACCTGTTCCTTATTAAAAAATTCACATATTTTTTCTTGCTGTTTTAAGTTCACGCTATGAGAAGAACTTAATTTCACTCAATATAGGTTATATTTCTCTACCAGGGTGTCTGAGTCATCAGTGCTCTTTGTTTTCCAAAAGACCCAGGAATAAGTTTATTATCATGAACACGGGGAAAGTATTCCCCATTGCCTTGGAACTATTTAACCTTATGGTAAGAATTGTCCCATATAAGGTAAACCCTTCCCTTAAGCAAGTTATTTTTGCCTATGTGAAAATAATCTCTTCACCTAAGCCAAAAAAAATTTAAAAAATCTTTAGCTCTAACTTTTTTCCTTTACAGAACTACCTCATTAGCATGAGAAACACTGCAGCTCACTGCACATCACAGCCAATCATAAACTAGGGCCTCCCGTTTTCATGAGGCTGGAACGGCAAAGGCTATGGGTCTTTGCCTTCCCTTGAGCCTGTTTCTACTGATGAGTGCCAAGATTTAGTCACCTGGAAGAGCATTGGTAGTGGCTGTAGCTAAAAAAATGATTTGGAGAAATAAATTTATTCTATAACATTTATTCTGCCCTGAACAGATTCTTCTCTTTTTCTTTTAAAAAATTAGGATGGCACTAAAAAGATGAGTAATTCTACTTATGTCTGGTCCCAGTGATCTGTATCCAAGGAAGGAAAATTATATTTAGGGTCATCTTCTTTTGTTTGGATACAAGGATATATTCTTCCCTGATTGTTTTATTTGCATGGAGCAGAAAGGAGTCATATTTTAATGAAACTTTTTTTGGTTCCTCCCTTTCTAACTCCTTTTTGGTTTTCTTTTCAGACATAACAATACAGAAAATGGAAGTTCTCACCTGCCTGAGGAAAGGCTTCTTTTAAAAAAATTGTTGAGGCATTTGGATGGAAAGAAGCTATATAGAGACTTCACTTTCATATGGAAAAAACAGGCTCCTGCCCCTCCCACCACACATATGAAGGCACACTTAGTATGATGCACGTGGTCAAAGCTGCAGGTTAGCAGGAGGAGCAAAAGGGGACCATGCTTGGTTCACCTTTCTCCTGGCCTAAGGGGGCCTCTGCACTCTGCGCTGGGCCACTGGGGAGCACACTAGAGGTAGTCCATTGTGAGCTGAACAAAGGATGCTCATAGTACTCCTCATCGGAATTGGAAGGGTCATCATCAGGCACAGACACCGAGATGGAGGGGGCTAGGAGTCTACGCCTCTTCCCGCTGGTGGCAGGTTCGTGGCTGGGGAACCTGTGTAGAGGACCCACTTGATCCTCAGCCCCTTCATCTACAAACAGACACACAGGAAGAAACTGCAGGGAGAACTGGACAAGACAGACACAAGATCAGACAGACAACACCTGCACAAGGACACAAAGGGCCACAGAAGCAGCACAGCAAAATGCAGAATTAGCAAGACCAAGCTGATGGAGGATGGGAGACAATGAATGTTTCATGCTTCGGTAGCCAGTGAATTTTAACTATCCCTTAAGTAATCTTGTCATTGATCTGTTGAATCAAATGCACTGATACTCCCACTGCATACTAGACATTATCTATACATTCCCCTTAAACAAGTCTGAATAACCACAGAAACATTAGCACAGAAACAACATATTGCAAAACAAATGCATCCTTTGGAAGAAATTCTTTTAAGTGGAATGATTCCTCTTGTGCTTATATCAATATACTTATAAGTTATTTTTTAAAAAGGAGGTTGTTAAGATTTGATACCTGTACGATTATGGAGGAAAATAATCCGGTCTGAAGCACAACCTTAAATACCTAGGATGCTCACATAGTTTATTTAATTTTTAGTTAATGACTTTAACTGAAAAGTAATGCTTCATTTCAGTCTCGCTAAGAAACATCTACTATTTTTCTTTCCTGACTTGCTAAGAAAATTGCAGTCAGCAAAGCTTCCCCTTTGGATGCTAAATCTGAGGGGCATCCTTTTGAACATGGGTTCTCATTTGCATGTCTGTGAAAGCATATGGTTTTTAGAAAGTCCCTACTATTATAAACCTGTTTTCATGTGTTTTGCTTCTCTTCTGAAAGCTCAACATAAACTCAATTAGCTGCGAACTTCTACTGAGCTGACTTGCAATTCATCAAGCCTTTATGCTACAGTTTTCATTTGTACTACTGGCTCTTGGCTGTCCTTATATCTCAACACCCTCATTACATATTTCTTATTGAAATGCTAAAGCAACTGCTCCCATTTATGTCCTTTCCTGTGTCTTGGCTTAGAAATATGCATTATTTAAATAGATTTCCTTAGATACACAAATGTAGATTAATTAGTCTGTTTTCACATTCAGATTCCTGTATATTTTAATGAGCTTCAAGGATGATGACAATGAACACGACTTGGCTCTGATGTGTTACAGACACTGCACCTCAGACCTATGTGCCAGGTTATGAAATTTGCTGATTGCTATTTATTTACTTACATAGAAGATAAGTTTAAAATTTCAGAATTCTCAATAATAAGGCCAAATTCTGTATACATTTTATTCCTAAATTTAAGCAAATGGGATTATAGCATTAATTTGAGAATGCACTGTATTTTTAAGGCAGTAACTTATTTTCAGCAACCAAGTGCTAGCAACTAGAAATAAATCTGAAATCATAAGAATACTAAAATAACATTTGGTAGAGAGAATACTTTTAATTTTTGAGCACATTATTTTCTGATGGTTCCGTGGAAGTTGTTTTTGGATGAGTGCTCAGAACTTTCTCATCCATGATGCTTATTATATCATGGGAGAGCTGAAGCCTAAAATTGTATCTGATATTCTTAGTTTAACTCGGCACGATTTTTCAGTTGAGCAGACAATTGGCTTTAATCTGGCCTACAACACTGGCTGAATCACAAGGCCTGGGCTTGTCATGTGTCCCAGCCATTCACATTTCCCCCAGTGACTCTCCGATGCTGTAGCTCCCCATGTATGCAAGTTACCTCTAAAACGTCCAAAAGGTTCAACAGATTGTAAGGACAATCAACAAACGAAAGTGGCGTATCCACCTCTCTGCTTTGCAACATTTGTTTTCTGGGTTGTACAGCAGACTGCAGAATAAAACTAAAGAATTTAAAGTTGAGCCTGGCAGTTTAAGGGCACTACTCCTTGGACTGGTTTAAACCTTTTGAAGATTTTGACCTCTTTCTTGCTGCTGTTGCTCTTTTTGAAAGTGCCAAAATGTGAAAACAACCCAGTCTTGCTTTAGATCTCTAACATTTCAAAGAAACAATGTTTTCTTTCTGAAAACTTTCTGAAAACTGCAGTTAGAGAACAACAAAAGCAACAATAGCTTTAAGGAATGCAGTGGAAAAGTAGCTTCTCTGTAGTATTTGTCCAGAACCAAACCAGGCAACTTCAAAAGGAACGTCTGGCAAGTCCAGTCCTCTGTTGGTACTATAAGCTGTATGTACTCCAAGTCTCTGTTGAGGACCTATGAACCTGAAGTCCATTTACTTTACAAGTCCTAGAGATGTGCCAGGGACGTGATATGTAGAGGACCATGACCAGCTAAGTCCAAATGGTGCACTTGGTTCCAATGAAGGTGATAAAAGACAACAGATCCTCATTTGCTATAAAACTGTGTATGGTGCTTGCTTTTGGTTCATACGTGATGGAGGGAGGATACATAATAATTATGAATAAATAAATTATTTATTTGAGAGTAATTTAAAAAAATGGGAATTAGTCCAGTAGCTTATAGCAGATTAAAAAAACACCTCTCATTGGAAGATCACTTTATTTTTGTATTTGCTCACTAAGAACTTAGATAAGAAACAGCTTTAGGGGTACAGTGGGGCTGTGGCTGCAAGGACTGAGATTTGGCTTTGCATTCTGGATAAACGTATAATAGCCATGATATTCTAGGCAAGAAGCGGAAGTGAATATTATCTCTTTTTGTGGGTGCTGGGAGAATTAAATGAGAAGCTATTTGAGAAAGCACCAGGCACAATGCTGGACTCCATATGTGTTAGCATCTTTCAATGAGCTCAGGCAAATTATCACGTACCTCTGCTCTTTGCTTTCATTTGACACATCAAAGTTAGACTTGAGAGATTTATGAAGAAATATACTCATTTCATAACAGTTAATTTTGCTGTTTTAAGGTCAGAATTGAATGCCTCCTTTTATTATAACTACACATGCTTTTGAGGACACTTCTTTTGCCACAAAATAGTCCATTGCATTTTAATAATGTGATATTTGAAAGAACAGGATAGCCTTAGGAACCTTGGAGTTTTACACAGGTCTTTTTCATCACGTTAAACTTCAAAACCAGTTTCAGTAGAGGAATAGTTTCCTTAATTTGCTTTCATCCAAACTTTTTTAAAAAAGCATTTGAAAATTTATGTTGGGTTAAAGTAAGATTTGCCATGTAAAACCTAAGCTCAGTATGCCAGCCCCCTTTGGAACAAACGAGCAGTCCCTGTTATGAGAGACTGAATCTCATGGGGTGTCTGCAACTCGGTCTTCATAGCTTCCGCCCCACAGACCATGGCTGAAGGCACCAGGCTCCACATGCACTGTGCTGTTCTCCGCCTTCTCTAAGCCCTACCCATTCTGCAAGCTTTTGACTGAGGACTCCTCTGTTTGCCAACTGGGTTTGCTGCCTCAGGACACTATGGGGGGCAAATTGCTTGCAGGTTAGCCATTACAGTGTTGCCACAGCATTGACAGATCCTAAAATCCTGGAGTGAACCTAAGAAGGCAGAAAGAGTCCTGGTTCTGTTTCCTGATGAGTCCGTTGTTCATTCATGGGCTTCCAAATTCTATCAGTTCAGTCCAAGAACAACTATTATGGTTAGGCGAACAAGAAAAGGGAGATTAATTTGAAAACATCTTAATTAGTACAGTATTAGTTTACTGTGCCTGGGTTTCCAAACAAGTGTGCTCCTTGTTTAATTTTTTCATCAAAATCCCTTTAAATGTTTCCCAGAATAAGCACTATTCAGGGAATTATTAGTATTACATTGATTATAATAAACAAATATTCATAAATGACAGTATTTAACATAATGTTATTCCTAGTGGAAGATTTCATTCTTCCCCTTTGGAAAAGAAGAATATTTAAAATGTTCTATAACTGATAAAAAAGTAAGAATATCCTCAAAATCATTGAACTCAATTTAATCCAAGAGCTCTTAACATTTGTAAACAGAGGATTGGCAGTCACTGTGCCTTTAGACAGCGGTTGCGTTGAGGGTGTGTCAAGGAGGGTAAAAAATCTCCACATAAAAATGCTCCCTGTTCCTTTTCCACTAGATCTGCCATGAGCAATATATTAACTGGATTTCAGCTGGGTCTTCGCCAACCAATTGGTTTGATATATTGAAGAATTGAATCCTGTCTTGTGACTTGTCACTAATTTACTTTCTGATAAAACAAACTCAAAAATTTTTTACACACACTTTAAGAGTGGTTAAAAATAAAAGAGAAGGGAAAGTTTGATTATCTAGACCACATATCTTTCACACATTTAAGGGGAGGATATTACTTGGTCTTTAAATTAATGAGGTAGAGTTTGTAAAATGTATACTTTTTAAATATAACTCGAAAAATGTTATCCTCTTAAAAAGACATAATCAGGACTTCATATAGCTTGATACTTTTTTTGAAAACACTTCAGTAAGAATATAAATTTGAAAAGTGTTACGAATAAAAAATCTTCGAATTGCTTTCAACAGGAAGTGGAAAGTTGATATTTTCTTGGAATATACTGAAACAGCCTGGAGAAAGCAACCCTGAAATATAAGGGAAGGTTATACTCTAGAAAGTGACACCTAAGTTGCCCAAATATGAATGCGATTCTATATTTTATTTCTATTTTCATTATATTCATGTATTTCATTATAACACCCCCCAAATAAAAGCAGACTGGGAATTCCCGGATGGACACAGGACCCCCATGCCCTTCAACTCCGTATAAGAATGAGAAGAGTGTATTAGTAATGATTGCCAGTTGCCTTTGGAGTCAACATCATACCTTTCTCTTGGTTAAGAGGATTCTCTGACACTGGGAAGGTTGTAAGTAGGGGCTCAGAAATATTTTCAATTACCCGAGGGAAGTCCAACTGACATGGAAGTCTTTCCAGGGTCTTCGGAGTGAAATCCAGACCCCTGAGCCAAGGAGGCTGCTGCTTACTCTCAAATTCTTCACTACTCCACCCCTTTCCCATCCCCACCCCCCATTAGCCTTGTGACTCCTTCAGTTCCTAAAGCACTTTATGCTCTTGTTCACCTGAATGCCCTTGCAAATCCTGGTCTCTCTGCCCAAAATGCCCCTTTCTTCCCCCTTTGCTTGACTAATGCTTCCCGAAGCTTCTAGGCTCAGCTTAACTGTCCCTTAGCATCCAATAAAAAAAGATTTCCCTTGTTCTTTTCCTTTTTGAAGCTAACCTAATTCAAAATCATGTGTACGTTTATTGGATTTCTGTTCTCCACTAGACTGTGCTCCTTACCAAGGAGGATAAGGTCTGTTTTGTTTGCTAAGGTATACCCAGAATGTGAAGAGTACTGGATACATTGTAGGCTCTCTATTAAATGTGCTGAATGAATGGATAAACATAAGGCAAAAAGAATTGTTCAAATCTATGAATTAAAAGATCAAATGACATTTTCAGGAAATTAACTAATAATCAGTGACTTTTATGACACTAATTATATGCACTGGTCATAGTCCCCAAATTTTCTTGTATTTACTAAAGTAATTTAGTTTGTTTATTTCAGCCAGTAAACTTGAAAAAAAAGACTTAAGAAAGAAAAACCTTGCTAAAAAAGTTTTGGTTTATAAAACTGTGACAAAAGTAAATTGTATTTATTAATCACTTAAACTAATTAAGGAAAATCTGTATTTAGGAAATTAAAGAATATTTTTAATGAATTTAATTACCAAATATAAAATTTAGGAAAATCTGTATTTAAGAAATCAATATTTTAAATAAACCTCATTACAAATTATAAAAATACAGTCTTTTTTAGTGATGTTTCAATTTTTAACATCATAAAATGACTTCTAAAAGAGACAAAATAAATGAAGAAATAAATGAAGAAAACTGAACAGTATTAAAATTCTGATTTTAGTATATAAAAATGAAATTATCTTAAAATAACAATTGGGCTTCAGCTCTCCTTTGCCTTCTCCGGTAACTCAAACAACATACAAAAGTTAACTGATCTAAGAACCAATCATAGTTTGCTTTTAAATAGTGTCATTCATCCAGATTCTGAGTGAATATTCTTCAAAGACATCCCTCTGTTTTTATCAAGGAGAATTTGAATGCTGACATGGCTTTTCATGTAGAGTAAATACATAAATAGATTCATGGACAATAACAGGTCTCAGCAGGAAAGAAGCCATGATCTCAGCGTCTGGTTCATTGCTCTCTATATCAGATTCATTCATTAACTTCTTTATTTATTCATTAATATTTATTGAGCGTTTGCAGCAGCCCCAGCCCTGGGGAAGGCCTTGGCAATACAATATTCAACAAAAGAGTCAATTCCTGACAACATTTCCATAAGGAAGAGTTGATTTCATCAGTATTTTTTTGTTTAGCCACTTATAAGAAAATTGTATATTCTCTGTCAAAATATTCTGCATTAAGTAAACTGGTTCTATGTAGTTATTCTAACAATCAGAACACAAAGTTATCTTTTCCTTTATCAAGCATACTTTTCTCTTTCTGTTTACCATATTCCTCTACTTCTGATTAATGTAAATGATTGTATATGTGTTAAAGTCTTTGTTTCTTTTTGACTATTTGAAACAGACAGCTCCCAAGCTGGGTCACTTATGAACTCATACTGAAGTCCAGTGCTTATGGACTGACAGATTGATATTTATTTACCCTTTACCAGAAGACAAACCTGAAACGGTCCAATAGGCCTTACCTTCCTCCACGGTGACAGTCTTCTCTGAGGCTGGTGATGGGGGTGGAGAAGGAGGCAGATTAGCTGTCTCTTCAGCTGCTAAAGATCAAACAATGAAACAATGAGATGCGATAATCAATCCTATCAGGCCAGTAGATATGTGGGCAGTTCTGCCATCTGTAAAAAGGCTCCTTTATGAAATTCAGGAAAAGATTCAATAGTGAGCTGCACTTGACTTATTTTTAGCTCCATTACCTGATTCATATATTTTTGAAAACCTAAAAAGAAAGAAGAGCATTTAATATTTAAAAATAATCATTTTGTCTTCCACACGGAAATGGATTAAAGATGCCTGCTAAAATTCTGTCTTTAATCCCATTAATTGGTGTCTGCTTGTTCAATTAAGAAAATATTTCATTTGGGCCCTAATCTACTATACTTAAACACACAGGCAGGCATTTTGGTTTTGATTTGGCTAGATGGGCTGAAAAAATACTAGAATTCTTTATCATTCAGTTTCTTGATCTGCAAACAAATGTTACCTTGATCATTCAATTATTATTTTAGGTAATGTATTTTTTAAGTCACATTTTGTCCATTGAGTCTACTATCAAAACCCATCATCGGTATGTACTCTCAGAAAAGAAAAATGAAGCTGTCATAGCCAGAGGCAACTTTTAGACAGAAGCCATGAACCAGTGGGAACTGAGTAATTTTCTGACCTTGGCATGGTACGTGAAGAAGGACCAAAGAGAAAGGTTCTAAAAAACGTAATTCATTCACAGTTAACTCTAAGTTTCCTGTTCAAGATACTTTATAACCACCCATATGAAGGTAATGGATTTCAAAAGGAAATATTTATCAGTCAAGGCTAGTGGTAAAATCTATTTTAAAAATTGTGTAAATTTTTATTTGGGATGACAGGTGACTCTTTAGTTCCTTGACCCCTTTATGTGGCATACTTTAAGGTTTCAGATTAAAAAGGAAAGGGTGGGCATGTCTTTTCTTTCAAACAATAGAAGTGAACCACAGACAAAAGGTCAATGTTTTAGATAATTTTTCCCTGCTTTGAGAGAAAAATAATTGATAATCAAAGAATATTTCATTAAAAATAATGAGAGTATTTTAAATTATTATTCTGGGAATGCAGAATTTTTTATTGCTTAGTTTTTAATATACAGTCAAGAGTTAATGATTAGAAGGTCAAATATTAAGGATTAATTAGACTGTAAGAGAAGAAAAGGATATGTTCTATTTTTAGGCTTTAAAAACCATAGTTTCTATGGGTTACCTCTATGTACTTATTGAAATAAACCTGTGTGTTGCACCTAAGAGATTTTCTTTCCTTGTGTCTCAGCATGTATCTATATCTATCTATCTATCTATCATCTATCTATCTATCTATCTACCTACCTACCTACCTACGTATCTATGTATCATCTACCTACCTATCATCTCAATGGAGAGCAGGGGCAGTAAGCCCTGGGCTGACAGTGTTTTTCTTGGTAAGCACCATTACAGGACCTGTTTGTTTGGCCCTGGAAGGCATCTGACTTGTGACCAAGGGAGAGAGAAATGCCATCTCAGTGTCCCTAAGTGAACCAAGCGAAGACTAGTTCTTACATGGAATACAGAGTCACTGATGATTCTAGCAAATCTCTGGCTATAGGTTTTATGTAGCTGGTTGTGGGAGACCCAAACAAGACTGTAGTAGCGACAATCATATACCAAAACCTACAAAGGGAAACAATTATCTCTAATTAAAACATTAGTGTATTTTCCTTATGAGTGAGGGCTCATGACCTCAAAATGCATGGGCAGTATTTTTAAAACTATCTTGTATAGTCTGGGAAAGGAAAATTAAAGGTACTTTAGGGGGAAAGTCTAACTGTAAGCTTATCACCCTAAGACCACCCTAAGACCACCAGGATCCTGTTGAGAGTGGTGAAAATATGTCCCAGTGCATCCCAACAGAGGTTTCTGATGCATGTTACATGGAAGGATGGAGTACGAGACACGACCTATCTTTGAACAGAAGACTTGGCCCTGTGATCAGGGTGCAGCAGACACAGCTGCTGATCTGAGGTTGTTTCTTATTTACCTAAAGGTAGAGCTGCGGGCTGATCTTTATGCTGCGCTTCTTTCTCTTGTTCACCTTTCAGGACCGCTACAGCCTCAGCCGTGACTACTTGAACTATCCTTGCAGACACCTCCTCTGTAATAAATAGCAACAAAAGAAAATAAAATGATGAGAATCCAAAACAGGCAGCAAAGAGGAAAAATAAATAATACAGTCAATTAGAATTTCATTTCCTCTGTTTGTCTCCCTGCAAGAGTACTAAAGTGCAGCTAAAATACAAATACATATATTGTAACCATAAAGAGAAAAAAAGAAAAGGAATTGGCATTCTAAGAAAAACAAACACAGAATGAAAGGAAAATAAGTAATAGGTATGGCAGTTTATTTTTCAAAAGCTATTTACATAAGCAGAAAAAAAAATTCTTTTTTTTAACCTAGTTAAACAAACTCAAAGAGAAGAGGGAATTCATTTTGGATTTATTGTAAAATATCTTTTGTAGTTTTATTACAGTATTCCAGAAAAGTGTCATTAAAGTAAGTTTCTATGCTGATGTGCAGAAATATCATGATTTAAAACCTAAAAAAGATGCCTCAAAATATGAATTTGTGATTAAACAGTACTGTTCAGTATCAGCATAAACAAGACCACTTCAGAAAAACGTGAGAAGATAAAGTTTGAATGAAATACATGGAAATCATGTATCAGATGGTCACTTTCTTAAGAGCTACTACTTTTCTAGATAGTAGATATTTTAAAGACCTTTAAGGTCATGTGCTATATACTCAGTTAGTACAAAAGTTTCATTAAAGAAGGAGGGCTTCGTCATTAAAATGATCTGTATGTGAGATGCCAGATATCTAGTTTTTGGACTCAAGTGGCCTCCACTGGAGCGTATCAATGCCAATTTTGTATAACCTAGTCAGAAAAATATTCAAGATATGATGTTCCACATACCAAGCAGAAATGAAATAAGCCTTTTGAGATCAAAAATATATTCTGGGTTACACATCAATTGTACAGAATTTAACTTTCCATTATTTTTATATAAAAATGTCTACCATACTAGGAAATAAGCCCCCTTATACCCTGAATAGAAACAAGTTGAATTTGAAGGGGTGGGGTTAGAGGATGGGGTGAGGTTTGTTCTCATAAATTCAGCCAGAATTTTAGAATAAATGCTTCATTGAAATTTTATTTGGCTCATGATTGAAATTTGCCCACTCACAGGCAGACTGGGGGAGATCTCCCTGCTTTTCCCTGGTTCATTAAAATTTTGTTCTCTGGAGTGTCTTCTTAACCTCACCAGAGAGCATGGCACTTAAAAACTAGGCTTTTTGGGTGAGCAATCACTTAGAATCTCTCTAAATTTAAAAGTATCAATCAAGAAAAATACAGACTCTCAGACCTGCTCATCTACCTAGAGTACACAATTGCTCTTCCTGATTATATTTTGAATCTCTTTTTCTCTTTCTTCCCCTGCTCTTACCCTCCTAGTACCTCTCTACTTATATATCTTGTAGACCATGTTAAACATTGTAATAGAAAATTTACCTCACTTGCAAAATTTTCAATGAAATTCAGACATTCAAAAATCAATAGTGATTTTATTATTACTTCTAGCGCCTCAGTGTTTTATGGAAAATTATATAATGAAAAGGTAGAGAAAGCATGCAGAAATTAGGACATGGATGGAATCCATGTGTCTTTTGGATCATTCCTGCATTTCCCTCTGGGCACTGACGCACAATTTAGCATCTCTATGGCACTTAGGGTATCTTGCATGGAATTGTGCTGGAATGCATGCCTTATGAGCCCTGCTATGTGAAGTTTCCCAAGCCAAGGAGTCTTTCCTTGTCCTTGTTGCAATTCTCGAAGCTCCTCCCATTGATCTTCACCCAGATTGGATGCTTAAAAGATTTTTTTTAAGAATTAAAAATTAACATGAAAGGCTTTGTTTATGATATTTATACAAATTTAGAAATAATTCATGCTTGTTAATGTGTTTGTTAACTCAAATTCCCCCCACAAATAATCATTTAATGTATTCTTGTTTTAAGTTTTTGACAGATTGTAGAGACATAGTCCTTAAATGGGGATTTCATATTTTTGTGTATCTATGATGAATTTTCCAGGATATGAGAGTACTTCACATGAATTAAATTTTTTAAATAGAGAAAACAATCCAACAAAAAAATAAAATCTACTGGCTTATGTGAACAAATTGTAACTGAGCAATGCCACATTATTTCAGTCTTTCTGTTTGGGATTGTTTTTAATTTTAACACCATAGGGAATTAGTTTATCTGTTGTGTGCTAATTAGAAGACATCAGAGGTGAAATTAATACAATAAAAATGCATTCACACAAGGTATAGCCAAATGACATTGTGGTCTGTGCTGTGTGAACAGACTTTCAAAATATTCTAAATAGAGACAAGTAATGGGAAAATGGAATCATTACTTTTCTCTAGTCAGTATGGACATGTCCAACCTATATAAAATGCAGTGTGTCAGCCAGTACATTTCTTTTTTTCTGAGAGATAATTTAGTTTCAGCAAAACAATATAATTTATTTTAGATGGGCAGTAGTAGGACATTTGAATTTTATTAGTTTTGTTGTTTCAGAGAACATTAATTTATAAATGTGTTTGAGTTTCACAGTTGAATTAGAGCTTATGAGTAAACTAATTTTGTATTTGTATGTATTTCAACAGAAGTCATAAAAATAATTTAATCCAATCTTGGGAGAATTAATAATTTTTTCTTAAAAGAGTTTAATAGATTTTTAAGAATGCTGTTTTAGAATAATCAAACATGCTGTGTGGGAGCCAAGTTAATGATATTTTCAATATTGTTAGGTATTGAAGAATAATATTGTTAAAACTTTTCAAATAGGAAATACTACATTGTTTTATATTAATTTCACAGTGAATTTAGAAAAACATAAGCATATAATTATTCTGGGGGGTTCAACTGGTCCAGTCAATTTAAAACCATCTTCTAAGCAAGCTCTGTCATCAGCACAGAGATGGCAGCTTCCCCAAGGAGAGATGGGCTTTTCCCAAGGAGGCCTAGCCAGGAGATTGCCTGGGATAGCTTGGTTCCTGGGACAGAAGCAAATTCACTTTGGGTTTAGGTCAAGTTCATGGATGATTAATAGTAAATGTGCCAAACAGAGAATACAAAAGAAGACAGTAACAAAATCAGACATATCAAAATGAAAACAAAAGTTACACTGTGTGATTATATACATAATTTCTTCATTAATTGTACAACTGTCTATTAATAAATACCTCCATCTATCTAACTGTCCATATATTGGTCATATCTTTCTAGCTCTCTAGGAAATGACTGTCTTTTACAATGAAGACAAATGGACTTCAATTTTAGAGACATGTGGGTACAAACTTCAGCATTGCTACTTTCTAGTTATTTCATCCTAAGAAATGTACTCAAACCCATGGGATTTCAATCCTTTACCCATAAAGTGAAAACAAGAATAGTACCTGTCTCACAAGTTGTTGTGGGGACTCCATTACATAATTATATAAGAGGCTTGGCATATCAAGGAACTCAAATAAAAAGACCTCTAAATAACAATTTATCGAGGTGTCTTTACTTCCCCAGTCATATATTTTTCTGGGTCTTCTACCTTAGTATTTCTGCTTCGAAGAAAGAGCAACTGTGGTATGTACTAAGGGTCCAGCCCAACTAGGCTATAAGTATTATGAACATAAGATAATACAGATAATACAGTTAATCCATAATCATTATCTATGTTGATGCCAGTTACAGTGGGTTTTCTATTTTTTTTCCCTAAACAAAGCTAGAGATAAACCGATACTGTCTTTGTTATTTTTTTTCTGGGCTACAATCTGCTCTAGATTTCTGCCAGCAAGTCCCAATTCAGAACTGTCTTCTCGCCAGTGCTCCACAAGGCATGACAACTCCTTTCTACTCATGGAGACAATTAGCAACATGAAAACTTCTTTTTTGAGACTACATTTTAATTTCTCACTGCTTACAATTTCTATCTCCTTTTTCCCTTTCTTATTTTCTACTCTGTTTTTTAAAATTTTTCTTCCAATCATTATATGTGCAAAATTATGAATAGGACCTAGCTGTTCAGAAGAGTAAAGATGAATCTAGATTACATGTAAATTGGGAAATTAGTTTATATATAATTGAAGGGTAACACTGATCTTCACAGCTGAAAACATGACATTTCTTACCATAAACAGAAAATCTGAAAGGCTCAATCATCTTTCTTTTGAACATCTACAGTTTTCTGGAACTGGGCATTTTTAGTGTATGTTTTAAATTGTCTTAAACGGTGTGTGTGGTAGATACTTTATTTTTTCTTTTGTTAATGTCAGGATTTCAATGTAATTAAGTCATAGTTTTTGCACTGCAGTGAGAACCTTATAACCAGTATTTGAATATTAACATATCAGTAGTGTCATTATGGTTATGAGACAATAATACAAAAACATCTCAGGAATAGCTGTTAAATCATGTCGCCTAGTAAAATGAACAATAACTTGGAAATAATCTATTAAGTGAGCTGTCTAAAAATTGGTTGAAAGGAAAACAACAGAAGCAACTTATTTAAAACAATTCATCTTATAAGATCTGAAAATAAAGGATTTAAAGATACAAGCCAGGCAACAGATGCTAACAGGTCATCACTCTATAGAATAGAATGGATAAACATCTGAAGGTAAAAAAAGAAAAGTCTGCCTTAAAAAACTTACCCTAGGCAACAGAGATAGGGTCAGTATTTAAAAACAGTGTCAAAGTAGTTCTCAGTAGATAAATTGAATTCTGGTAAGAAATAATAGTTTTTCTTTGTATTGGGGAAATGTGTTGGTGAAACATGAACAAGAGGTGAATAGGTGTAAGAAACAAATTGAAACATGCTCTCATCCACAGAAACCTACTTGATAACACACACACAAAAATACGCTAATACTTACATTTCACCTCAGTAATGAATAAACATCATACTGTGATACAAGGCTATTAAACAATTTGTTACATTAGGTACTTTAATTCCCTGCCAATATTATCTAAATAACAATACATTTTTCAGATGAGTAAACTGATGAAATAATGGATAAAGGCAATCTATTGTC